CCAAAATTACTGAGCCATCTCCTCATACAGAACGGGGGCTTTGTTGTATGGTGCATATATATATATATCATGCATACATGTCATGGTGCATATATACACAGAAGCCTCAACTTGATGAGGTCTTCCCGGGAGCTACGCACTGGGGTAGACAGCAAGACCATGCCCTTGGGAGCTTGCAGCCAGGAGAGCACAAGCAGCAGGATTTGGATGGAAAGGAGAAGAGCAGGATAACATCAATAAAAGACTGCACCACGTACCATGGTCCCAGTAAGGGCCGAGGAGGAACCCAAGGAAGGATGCGAGGCTGGGATTTCTTTTCACTAACTTGTACTATTGGCTGGCCTAAACTTTATGCCCAAAGTCCCCTCCCTAGTGTTTTCCTTTCACAACAGCAACTATTAGTTTTAAGGGGCAAGAAGGGAGAATCAAAACGGACAGAACGCCTGAAGGCAATATTTCCCCTGTGGGGCTAATCTCTAGGTGGTTTATCTTCGACCCAACAGCCTCATTGGCCACGTCCAGATGAGCGCACACGTGCCTGTTTTGATGTCTCAAAGCCGTTTGAGATGTCACAAGAGGCACATTGGGAACGAAAAAATGTTCCCCACACTGCGTATTTGCAGCGCGGACTCTAAATTTGATACCAGCAAATCCCAGTATCAAAAAAAGAAAACCACGCTGAAAAAAGCAGTGCAGGGCACACTCCTTGACGCGTGCCCTGAGACAGCTGGAGGCTGGGGCCTCCGAAGAGACACGCTAGCACCCATCTCTGCCTGCCGCGTGCCCCTGCTGCTCCAGCACACTGGGGCAACTAGGAGTGGGGCAAGGCTACAGCAGTGGATCAACGTAGGTAAGCAGGGATATTGGGGGGAAATGTGGGTGTGGGGGAAAACTGTGTTGGGGTGGGTCCCTTGTTGCCCCCTTCTCCCTCCCCCACCCCGCATGATGCACAGCACCCCCTGCAGCAGCAGCAGCCGCCAATCAGGGCACTCGCGGCCAGCTCCTGGCAGAGACCCCCAGCAGCTGCACGTGGTGCATGGTACCGGCCTAGCCTGCTGATGTGCAGGACCAGGCTGGCTCTTGCTGTCACCCAGGATCCCAGCGCCACATATAAGAGCCTTGAGCCGGGCCAGGTCCTGCCTCCACGGTGCCAGCCCGGCTCAACGGCACGCGGGACACATGGAGCCAGGACATGGGCTGGCATCCTGTGCCACGTGCAACCGCCGGGGGTCTCTGCCAGGAGCTGGCCCCGAACGCCTCTACAGCCCCTGTTGCTGTGGTGGGGGGAGACACTGTGCACCATGCAGAGGATCAACCCCTCCCACATAGTCCCCCCCAAAGCCCCCTACCCACATACCCACCCCAGTTCAGGGCTTCCCAGGAACAGCATGGGGGTCGCTGGGGCCTGGGCACAAGTGCAAGGAGCAGACCAGCAAGGGCTGGCACTGCTCACAGCCAGAAAGGAGCCAGTGGGATAGCTGCAGCTGGACTCATGCCCTGGTGCTGGGATGGAGCTAGTGGCGGCAGGCAGGGGCTGCAGGTCAGGAGCAAAGGGCACTGGCATATCAGTCCCCACGTGGTCCCCGTCTGGGTCTGGCTGGCATGCAGCCATGGGGCCGCAGGTTCAAGCGGGCAACAAAATATGACGGGGGGATGCTGTCGCAGGTGGCAGCAGCTCCCACTGCCAGGCTGCTGTAGTGGATAGAGGGTGCAGTGGTCACTCTAGGTTAGGGCAAGCTGCTCTAGCATCCAGCTGGCACAAGGGGCTAGTGTCCCCAGACACCAACTGACCAAGCCTCAGAGGCTCCCTTAGCTGCTGGCCAGGGCAGCTTTTTATACTGCTGGGCCAGCACAGGTGCTGGCCCCAGCCTCTAGCTCCCCCTGGCTGAAGATCCGGGAGGAGGTAGACAGGATCAGTTTGCCCCAAGCGGCACAATTTGCCCCACACCAAAGTGTACGTTCAGGCACGTGTGGCGAGACAAATCCCCAGCACAAATTTGTGCTGCTGCAAGTGCACGTGCCTGCATGCATGGACACACCCACTGCGTCTATTTAAGAGAGACGACTTCCCTGCCATTGGATATGACCCTCCCCTGCCAGAGAAACAGAAAAAGAGATGCTGTGCCATTCATTCAGAATGGGATAGGCTGGGGAAGAAAAGCAGACCAGCGTGGCATGAATTAAGGAGAGAAAGTCAACTGCAAGGCTGAGTTGCCTGAGCTGCTGTTCAGTTTCTGCCATACTGCTAACAGTTTCTTGCAAGGTTTAAATTTACACTGATCATCTTTCTATGGCTGGGACCACAGCAGCAGCGGCAGCAGCTCAAGGGGCAGAATTTGAACAAGCCTTAATAAACTTAGCATAGGGAATCTTTTTTTCCTCCCCAAAAAGATTACGTGTTCCTAAATTGTCCTAGAATATATTGTAAATCATTCATTTCAAAGGGCAAGCCAGCAAGGTTTTGGTACCTGAGCCTGCTGGCAGTTTCAAAAGCATACCATGACAACCCCTTAACCATCTGGGCATATTACATTTGAAAATCTGCAGGGTAGATTCTCTATTGTATCCAGTGTATATGAGAGAGAATGGGCAGTGCCTTTCATCTGAGTGCATTAAGTGCCTCAAATGTGGTCTCAGAGGGTCAAGCACTACTCTGAGCTCTCTGCTGGGGATAGCCTTCAACCTTGGGGGATCCCCAGAAGGCCTTGTGTTGATGGACCCTTTGCTGTTCTTTCAACATCTTTCAGGGGAGTATGGACAGCTGTCACAAGGTAGGGCACCCCAGGCTGTGCCAAGACTGTGAATGAGACGGGGAAAGGTAAAGACATGAAAGGTACCATGACATGCTACATGCACACGTGCTCCCCCTCAACTGAACAAAGCTTCGGAGCCTGCTCTCAACCCAGCCACACCACTAGCTTCAACCAGTAGGGACCAAAGGGGTAAACCCCGTCACAAGCTCTCACACACGTTAGCATCAGAGCAATTGCTGTATTAGTTCCACCGCAGCAGACAGAGCTTTCTTCAGTATGATGCCCCCAAGCACTGAGCACCATGTTCCAGGGAAATGCCATTTCTAATCTCTCCAAAAGTTAAACCTCTAAACATATTTAATTTAAAGTTCCTGCTGATCATCAGGTACAGGCAACAAGAATATGCCCAACAGCAAACCCTGCTTATTCTCCTCCAACACAGCCAGGCAAAGGCATGTCCTTCAGGAAGTCTTTCTATGGAGGATAACCATTAAGCACTTGAAGACAATGGGAGTTGAGCATATGCTGCACGTCCTAAATAGGCATGGATTTAAGCAGGTGTTTCATGGCGCTGACAGACGTGCAACTCCCTGGTCTAACTCCTGGCGCTTTCTGTGAAGCATCATAAGATAGACCAACCCTCCCAACCCAACAGACATTCATTGTTGGATCGGAAGGGTGGAGAATCGAGCTCCACTTTGGAGCCAATCCAGCAAAAGGGGCTATGTGTCTGCCGTCTCTTCCTCCTAGTCCCATCCCCACCTCTCCCAGCTCAGGTGCTGTCTCAGGATGGGAGGAGCTAAGGCAGGGAAGGGAGGTCCATTCTGGGGTTAGCCCACCCTGCGCTGGAGCAGGGGTGGGACTGGAGTCCCCCACTTCAGGGGGGCTCCAATCTACCCACCCACCATCCAGTGCAGGGTGGGCAAAACCCCAGACAGGGCTCCCTCCCCTTCCTTCCTCCCCCTCCCATCCTGAAGACAGCACCAGGGATGGGGCTGAGCTGCCTCAGCCCGTCCCTGCTCCTGGCCTGCTCTAACAGATGTTAACGAAGGCGCTCCACTTTGGAGCGCAATCAGGCACTTCAAGTGCTCTGCAGCCATGCACTTCTGTCAGCGCGCGGCTGTAGAGCGCTTGCAGCGGCTGATTGTGTAACAAAACGTCACTTCTGTCAGCACACTCAGGGCTCTTCCGAACTGAGGTTTTAGGACAGTCCATTAACTTGGCTGAGCTCCTTGTAAATCCAGCGCAAGATTATTCCAACCTTGGTGTCTTTTCCTCTTGCTTGAAAAAATTTACGGACAGCTGCTCAGGGAAGTTAAACAGGGCCAAGTGACTTAGCTGAGCGATGGCTTTGCCAGAGTCAGAGCAGCGGCCGCAACAAAAAGCTTGGGCTGAGCTACACTCACATAAAACACCTGCTTGTCATTCTGAATGACAAAGAAATTAAGAAATGCAGTGACAGCTGGTAGATAACTCACTCACAGCAAGGAGAGCCATGTTTACCTACTAAATCAGTCACACTGAAAGGCACACGCAGAAACTAGGCATCTTCAGACTAGAAATCATCGCTGGCTGACAGGATGTCTATATACAGTCACTGCTATATCACCAAGCCCTTCCATGCAACCCAAAATGCTCTAGACCAGCTCACTCAAGAGGAGAACTGAAAGGGTTGGCTGCTAGCAAGTCCTATGGTACTGATGAGGAAGGGCTACGCTTTCCCAGTGGAAACATCACTATAGTAGCCAGGTACCAAAGGATGGGAAGGCTAGCTGTGACTAGCCTTAAAACAGCAAGTAGACTGCTCTGTACTTTGGTGGACTAATCACTTGGGAGCCTGCCACCTTTGCCTATTAAGGTCACCTTTGCCTTGGTGGTCACGCTGCTACAAGGGGATAGTCTCGGAAGACATTGTGCTCCATCATATGATTCTTCCCGACATTCAGCATCTCAGTAAATGGTACCCCCCACACCACGGAAGCAAGCAAGCCCTCTCTCGAGGGATCAAATCATGCTACAAATTCAAATGCACCATAATTGCAACTTACTTAGGAATCCAGTAGATTTCATTGTATGAGTCCCCTGGTAAAGCAAAGTATTTATGGCTAGGATGTCAGTGGGTTAGCCTCGGATAGCAAACCATCATGTTTAACCCAAATAAACCTCGAGACACCGGATTTGCAATTTTAGACATAAAGAACAAAAGGAACAAGACCCCTGATCCCTCCCATTCGAGACTGGACTCACCAGGACACGATCTCCAAGCCGCAAATCCTTCTCCCCTTTCTTCACTGACCCGCTGTCTGAAAGGTTAGATCCAGACTCGTTTCCAGTCTTCATGGTGCTATTCAGGACGCTCTCCCTCAGAGGAATGACGCGAGTAGAAAGGGGTGGGGTGGCCGTCCCCGAATGCAGTGACAAGTTCTGAGTTGTGAGGGACTCCACAGAATGGGCATCGCTCCCCGATCCCTCTGCCACAGGCTGGCGGGTGAGCTTGGAGGGTCGTGTAAAAATCCCCTGCAGCGGCTGGCACTCGAAGTAACGTACCCCACCAACAGAGCCATCGTTTTTACCCACCGGATCATCCAGAACGACCCCTGCCCACTGGCCGGGAGCAAATTGCGTCTCCCCGAGGTACTGGATCACACCTGGCTTCACTCCATTCACCCAGACACGTTCACCCACCACAAAGTCTCCCAAGAAGTCATCGCCAACCTCAGCGACCTTTGGGCCCGACTTCTCAGCGCTGCCAGTAGAGGCGGGACCTTGCTTGTGCAGAGGTGAGCCTGCGAATCAAAGGAAAGCAGAATTAGTGTGATGAAAAGCCGGAGGGAACCAAGTTACTAGAAAAGTTGATTAATAATTAAGATCCAGGTTATACTGGACGCAGAGGAGGACTTAAATGGCAAAGGTTACTTACACATTCTCCAACCCATACTCACTGTTTCCACATACGTATTAAAAACCTACCTGTGCCTTTTCTCCATCTGCAGGAAGACAGCCAAAAATACCCACGTGCTAGCTTCCCAGACATGCTGGAAGGATGGCAGGGTAGCTAGGAAAGGAAGCATTTGCAGTCTAAGCATTGTGTGGTGGCAGGCAGGAGGAGCTGCGTTGAAGGCGTAAAGATCTTGATGCTACAGGTATCTTATTTGGCACCGCTCCTCAAAGAGAAAATGATCTTCCTCAGAAATGTGGAACTAAAATTTTTGCTGATGGGGGTTACGAGACTGCTCCGTGTATGGATATAGGCAAATAGTTGCTTGGTAAGATGCTAATGCTAGCAGAAGATTTCCTGGCTTTTGCAGGGCCAATGCTGCTGGCTGCTATACACTGCGCACGGCTTCTGCTGTGCAGTTCTTTCCATTAGCTTTTAAAAGGTGCGGCCAACACCCAGCAGCAAGGAGAACATTTGGATGACTATTAATAAAAGTTAATAAACTTGGTCCTAGAATGAACAGGTGCAAATCCAATGACTTTGAGCAGGGCTGCAACTCATTAAACCAGAACCAACTGAAATACAGAAGAAGAAGTTGTTTCAACTGAGTCAGTCAAGTAAAAGCCCAACTTCCTGCCCCGTTTCCCTTTTCTGAGAGATGTAGAAGATGGCCCTAAAGGTTTGTTCCTCCCAGGAATTTTCTCCTCAGTATATATCAGACTTGACTGAAGGCTGCAGCACTAAGGCTGGCAGATACCTAACTGAGTGGCAATTAAAGAATTTTTTTTGCAAAAGTATCCTGTTGGTCTAATAAAAGATATCATCTCTACTACGAGGCTCGATTGCCATTTCCTCTAGGCCAATACGGCTACAACCTGGATACCTAACTGCGCGGTTGGAATTCAAGTGAGAATAAAGTGGGATCAATCGTAGCACTCGGGTGAGAGTATGAGGGAGGTAAGAGTCAGGCAATCCCCATTACCAGCCTTGGGTTTTCAGCCTAGATCCAAGAGAGGAAAAATAAGGAGCATTTGAACTTTGTTAGAGACTTTGTTGTAAAGAGAAGGTAAGGAAGAGGCCTAGAAGTCATGGGAGGAGTTTGGAGAATAAAAATGTATGGAAATGTAAAATCAAGTGCCTTTTCCCATTAGCTCGGCTCCATAAAGTTGAGATTTCAGACTGTGTTTTCCAGTGTATGGGGTCTACCACTGGCACATATGATGTATGCATAAATGTGGTAGAGATGGCTCAAAGCATCTTGGAGGAAAGAGAAAAATCAGCCCGAATCTTCAGCCAAAAACTCAAAACAAAGCATTTGGGATCATAAGCCCCATATCAGCAAGAATTCAGTTTGGGCTGACATTCAGGGATTCACACATGCTACAAAAGGGCAAGTGTCCCGTTTCAAAAATGTTCAATTAGCTCAAAAATATGCATCTGTCACACTCTCCAAGAAGCCTCAGTGTTGCAGCTGCCTCTGCTTGCGGGAGCTGGCCGAGCTGTAACTGCCAGCGTGGAAACGGCACAAGATTTTCATGGTACCGCCAGCCCAGCAAGGAGCAGGATTCACCAGAAATAGCTCCACCAACCAGTTCCCATCAAGTCTCCAGCCCAGTTTTGCAAATCCTCCAGCAGCAACCAATGCTACTTGCCCGTGCTGCCCTCACCCTGCTGAGCAAGGCATGCAAATGAACAGAGGCTCATTACCTCTGTGACAGATAAAGGTATTATTTCCCATTGTGCAAATCTAAAGCACAGAGGACGAAAGTCACCCTGTCCTACATGGGTGGAGCTCCCTGTGGAGTCAAAGGGAACTATTGTCTACATACAGGAGGTCTGAATTTAGCCCACTGATACTAAATGACCGCCCTCACGTCCCATAGCGAGACAAGATTAGAACCCACAAGTGCTTTATATCCAGTCTTACGCCTTGTCCACTGGACCAGAATAGGAGAAGGGGCCTGACCAGTTACAGCAAGGAATCATACTTCTGAGCCCTTATCTAAAGTGACCGGCAAGGCTCGTTCAGACTCACCCACCCCTAATACTCAAGCTCCACCGTTCCCCTCCAGGTCTTTTACAAGCAATGAACAGGACAGGCCAGGTCTGAACACCTGCAAAGTCCACACAAAGAACAAAAAAGCCCCCAAACCATGGTAGATGCAGCTGTGCCAGAGGTCGCACCGAGAAGTAGAAAGTCAGTGGTGCTCTGCTCGAGTTCACACTACGAAGAGCTTAATGTTTCTGCTGCAACACCCAGCAAAGGACAGTGGCGTTTAAGCCAGCATCCAGCTTCAGGAGTCAACAGATCCAACACACAGAGCTCAGGCCTCAGAGCTATTGTGCAAGCAGACTGCCGATTCAGGCAGACAGCAAAGGCATGATCTAAAATCAGGAGGTTAAAAATTTAGGATGCAGTCTGAAACTCAGTGCAGAAACCCTATCAGTACAACAAAGAATAGTGAACGCTACTGGCCAGACAGTGATATCCTACCTCAAGCTGAATTGCTCTACACAACCAGAATTGGTATCATACAATTGGGCTCAATCTTTTGCACAAAGTTTTTAAAAGGTCAGGTCCTACTCTTTAAGAACCAAGGGAGCAAGGTCAGTAACAATGAGCATGATGCCCCACAGGAGCATAGTCTGGTTCCTTAAAGAAATAAATTCACTAGAGTTACTGGGTTGCTTTCTACTCTGGTTTTCAGACCTGCGCTGCAATCTGCTGATCCCCAAAGCAATTTCTCTTTAAAAAAGTTTTAAGGAAATACCTTAATGGACTTTTAGTAGAAAGGCATCCCTCCCTACCTACTAAAAGATTAAAGGATTAAGTAGATTATGTCAACAAATTCAATTCTATATATTTTTTTTAATTGCAGTTTCTGGCTTGTTTTATTACACATTTCAAAGACAAAAAGCAGGGGGCTGCATGGAAGGTGAAGGGCAATTAACTTTTTATATCCTATCAAATATTTACCTGCAAGGTTGGAAAATAAGTCACAGCAGCCCTGTGTTTGTGCCTGAGGAGCGTCAAATAGACCTCCTCACAAATAGAAAATCCATCCAACCGCTCTAGTCGCACAGCTCAGCTGCAAGAGAGCTGTAAGAGAGCAGCGTAAGCAGCGATGACAACATGCGTTTGACAAAGAAAGCTTCTCGGTTTGATTTGCCCAAGATGCTTTCAATAAAACGTATCAATGTGTATTTAAACGTCTCTCTAACACATTCACTTGACAGAAAGCAATACTAAGGTGTAAATTAGAAGCAACATTTTTATATGCTGGTTTTAGAGGCCCAGATTCAGCAAAGTGCTCAAACCCATGGATATCTATGGTAAGTGGGCCTAGAAGAGACATACCTGGTACCCCACGCAAAAGTCATCACCAGGGATCCGGGTTTTCCCTGATATAAAATTGCAAGTTCTCTGCTAAAAAAAAAATAAAACCACAAATTCTTTAATAAAACCCCCAAAATCTGTTATTAAAATTAAAGGCTCCCCACAGGCCCCCTGGCCCTGCTCGTGCCTCTCACTCTACCCTACAGCCTTGTTGGTGCCCCTAGACCCCCCACCTACAGCCCCTGCTCCCCCAAACCTGCCAGAGAGGGCCCCCAGCTGCCAGGGCTATGGACCCAGGTCCACAGCCCTCTGCCCCTGCTCCTCCCTGCTGTGGGCTTGGGGGGGGGGGGGGAACCCTGGCTCCCTGCCACTGCACGCACTCCTGGGGGACAGGGGGGGACCTGCGTCTTCCAGGGAGGCAGGCGCAGCTGTGGGATCAGGCTCCCGCCTGGCTTTCCCCCATGCCCCTGCTCCCAGGGCCTCTGCAGCCCAACGGGTACGACCCCACTGGCAGGGCACAGCGGGGTCATGACGGGATCTCCTCACTGCTGCAAGCTCCATGCTGCCCTGGCAATGCATCCCCTGCACGTGCTGCTGCTTTGAGGGGCACAACCCCATGCTGCTGCTCTCACTGCAGCTGCGCGCACAGGAAGCACATCACCAGGGCAGAGGGGAGCTTGCAGCAGTGAGCAGCTTCGCCGCGCAACCCCGCCGTGCTGGTGAAAGACATGGAGTGCCCGCCTGGCCGGCAGCACATGGACCCAGAGCAGCGTGATATCGGCCCGGGCGGGCTCCACACTTCCCTGTGCAGATTCCCCGAAAGGCCGATAGTACGCCACTCCCAGTCCATGCACCACTGGGCAGGCAGCACTCCATGTCTTTCCCCAACACCTCCTCACTCTATCAGCCCCAGCCAGCTTCTGACAGGAATAGCTGCCTGCCCGGTGGCACGTGGACTGGGAGGCAGCACGCTATCGGCTCTACAAGGAAGCCCAGCCAGGCGGGCACTCAATGTGGGGCTTCTCCCAACACTTCCCTGCTCCCTTAGCCCGTAGCCACACACCTATGCCCTGCCCCCCATCTGCCCTGCTGGCTCTTTCCCCAGCCCTGGCAGTCACCCATACCCACACCTGCTACCCCAGCTCTGACAGTGCCTCCCAGCCATGACCTGCAACCCCCCCAGCCCTGCCAGAGGAGGCCCCCAACCCCCTGCAGGCCCCACTTACTGCACAGGCTCCAGCAATGAACAGTGAGCCTGATGCCCTCCTTGGGTGACAAGCCTCAGGCCCATCCTTTCCCCCTCTCCTTCTGGCCAGGGTTGGGGGTTTCCTGCCCTTTTTGCAATCAGCTCTTGCAGGCTAGAGCTCTGCCCACCTGTAGAGCTCTTTGCAAAAGCGGGAAATCTACAGGTCTCTGCTAAAAGGGAAAATCCATTTTTTCTCTGATAAAGCCGGGAAATCCATGGTTTTCTCTGTTTTTCAATGGTAAACCAGGATCCCTGGTCATCACTC